GTCAGCCTAGGCTACATGAGACTGGTTTTGTTTGATTGTTTGTTTTGTTTTTGGTCTTGTTTTTGTTTGTTTTAATGGGAGAAGGTAGAAAAAGACAAGACACCAGGGGCGTGAGTGTGTCTGGTCTCTGTCCCTCTTATAAAGCCACTGGCGTCCTGGAGCTCCACCTCCATGGTCTCAAATGACCAGTCCACTCACTGCTCTAAACTCCACCGTGAGATCAAGTCTCCTCCGTCTTAAACCTAACAATGCGGATGAAATACCAACCTATCTGGGCTGGAGAGATGGCTCAGCGGTTAAGAGCACAGACTGCTCTTCCAGAGGTCCTGAGTTCAAATCCCAGCAACCACATGGTGGCTCACAACCATCCATAATGGGATTGGATGCCCTCTTCTGGTGTGTCTGAAGACAGCTACAATGTACTCATCAATAAAATAAATAAATAAATATTTAAAAAAAAAAAAGAAATGCCAACCTATCAGTTGTTGCTGTGGTGTTGGCAGGTCCCTTGCAGGACCAGCTGAGACCCTCACTAGACCTCAGAGGACCTCAGCCCTGCCCAACCAAAGCCCCAGTTCTTCTTCAAGATGTGCTAAGTACAAACTATACCCGGGCTTCGCACAGAGAGACAGCCTCCACTTATCACGTCACACGTGTAAGGAATCTCAGGGTAGAGAAAGCTCAGGGAGCTGTGAGGGACACAGATGTGTTCACAGGAGAGAGCAAAGGGAAAGTCCACCGAATTCTGATTGTGATGACGTTAACACATCCTTCTGCAGCTCAAAAGGAGGAAGTGACCCTAGAGCTCACAGAGGAACCCTCGCTGGACAGCAGCGCCAAAGACATAGCGTGCGACCACCTGATGTGAGTACCAAGCCAGTCTCAGGCATTGGAGAAGCAGCGACGTGGCCAGATCAGTGTTCTCCCTGTTGCTTAGCCTACTCAATCCCTGCTGTGTGACCTGTAACCGGTCCCATGCAGGACCAGCTGAGACCCTCACTAGACCTCAGTGGACCTCAAACCCTGCCCCCAACCAAACCCTCGGTTCCTCCTCAGTGCTAAGCACAGGTGCACGAAATTAAGATTGTCTTTGAATGTTTAAAGGCAGCCTGTCCCCTGCCTGGGCTGAGGTCCCAGGATCCATCCCTGGGCATTTTGAGCTTTTCTCTCAGGGTCTTCCTATCTGGTCCTCTGGAGTCACCAGTGATGTCCAGCACAGCTGACTCAGGCCTGTTTGGGTTTCCTTTCTTTTCTTCTCTTACAGAGATGACTTACTAATGGCTCAGAAGGAAATCCTGTCCCAGCAGGAGATCATCATGAAACTTAGGACAGACCTCGGGGAGGCTCACAGCCGGATGTCAGACCTGAGAGGTTGGTGTGAGTTCCTGGGTCACTTGACATCCTGACCTGCTCAGGCAGGAAGTGAAGGCCAAGAATCAGCTACTTTGGACTCAAAGCCTTTCCTGGACCTGCTTTCTTGTGTGTTTGCGGCTCCTGTCCCTCCTGGGATCACACAGACTTGGTGGACCTTAAATGTCAATGTCATCTGCTTCCGAGCATCTCCTCCCCTTCCCCCCCTTGAGAGCTGTAGTGGGGCTCCCCTTCTGGGCTGGGTGCAGGAGCCTGGATGCAGTTTGGAGGGACCTCGAAAGCTTCCTCTTCCTCACACAAAAACCTTCTTTGGTGATGGCCACCCAGGGTAGGGTGAGAAAGCCCAGTCACCCTCCTGTACCGCCACATAGCCTGGTCTCTCCTTGCTTCTGCTCCCTCTTCTTGTGTCCCCCCATCCTTCCTTCTCTTCTTGTGTCCCCCATCCTTCCTCATGCTTCTTCTGGCTTTCTTCTCTTTCCTATCCCCAGCCTCTAGCAGGACAGAAAGCCTAGACTCGAGAGGTGACAAAGCTAGATTCCAGAAGTAGAAGGGAGGCTGGAGGAGGGAGAGAAGGAGGGAGGGAGGGAGGGAAGGAAGGAAGGAGGAAAGGAAGGAAAGAGGGAAGGAAGGAAGGAGAAAAGGAAGGAAAGAGGGAAGGAAGGAAGGAAGGAAGGAAGGAAGGAAGGAAGGAAGGAAGGAAAGAAGGAAGGAAGGAAGGAAGGAAAGAAGGAAGGAAGGAAAGAAGGAAAGGAGAGAGGAAGGGAGGGAGGGAAGGAGGGAAGGAAGAAAGGTAGAGGAGGAAGAAGGGAGGGAAAGGAGAGAGGGAGATTGTCTCACCCATCTTCAGCCTCTGACACCCCCCAACCCTCAGGACTGTTTTCTCCTTGAAGCTGCACCCATGGTTTTCCAGAAGGAAGAAGAGTAATAAATTATGGTGTCTTCAGAGAGTAAAAACCCAGTTCCAGAACATGATCGCCATTAGGTCCTGGACATTAGACAAGTCTCTCTCTCTCTCTCTCTCTCTCTCTCTCTCTCTCTCTCTCTCTCTCTCTCAGCCTCAGTATCCACATCTGTGAAGTGGGGCTGCCAACAATAATCCCCCTGTAGCCCACAACTGAAGTTTTAAGGCAAGGGTCTTAGCATGGGTCCTCCCAACAGCGGACCCTAAAACCGGAACAAACCAAAACTGGACTATAGTAGGTCTGTTCTTATCACAACCCCAGGAAATGCTTTCAGGCAATGAAGTAGGGCCTGTGCCATAGGAAGGACAAATAAGTATGGGGGGCGGCCGAGAAAGCTAGGAGCGGGGACAGCTGTCTCTGCCAGCTGACAGAAGTGGGTGATACAGAAGCAGCTGGAGATGAGGCGCAGTCGGGAGAGCCTGCCTAGCCTGCGTGAGGCCCTGGCTTCAGGCCCCAGCACTAAGTGAAAGTAAACCTGGAGTCCATCACACACCTGTAGTCCCAGCACTGAGGAGGTGGAGGCAGGATGAGCAGAAGTCTCAGGTCTCTCCGGCTATATAAAGAGTTGGAGACCAGTCTAGGATATATCAGACCCTGTCTGAAAACAAAATATAAACAAAAAGACTCAGAAGTAGGTAGCTGAACATTGTCCGGTGTGTCCTAAAAGACAGGGAGGTGTGGGTAGGTGGTGGGAGCACGGGTGATAGGCAGTGAGATACGTGGGTAGGTGGCGGGGGATGTGAATGGAATGGAGGGTGTGAGTAGGCGGTGGGGGTGTGGGTAGGCGGTGGGGGGCGTGGGTAGGTGGTGGGGCCCTGATGGAGGCTACTGGTTTAACACTGTAGTGAGGCAGAAGCAGGGAACTTACTATGCCACTCACTGTCACGGGTAGAGGACCTGGCAGAGCTCCTAAGGAGCACTAAAGCCCCTGACAACCCTGGGGCAGACCTGCCTCACGGATCCCAGAGGGCTGTCAGATAGCCCACGGCAGAGATCTGAGGTGGGAAAACCACTCACTAACTTCCTGTCGCTCTCAGGGGAGCTAAGTGAGAAGCAGAAGACTGAGCTGGAGCGGCAGGTGGCCCTGGTGCGGCAGCAGAACGGTGAGCTGAGCATACTCAAGGCGAAGGTGGCGCAGTCGACCGGCCTGGTGGAGAAGAAGGACAGGGAACTGAAGGTCCTCAGGGAGGCGCTCAGGTGTGGGAAGGGGTCCGTGTGACATCTGGCACAGAGAGGGCTCAGTAAATGCTGGCTGAAGCGGACGGATAATGTTTCATTGCTTCCTAGATTCATTAATTAAAACAGAGCCGCGCTTTGCTCTGGAATGCGCATTCTCCCAGGTAATGGGGCTTAAACGCAGGAAGTCTGAAAGAACTCAGTCACCTGTGAACGATAGTTTGACTTCCAGGTTTACAGAGGGATGCAAAGGTTCCCTGAACCCTGAGCTGCCTGATACCCATGATGCCCCTCTCTGCCCCAGGGCTTCCCAAGAGAAACCCAGACCCCAGCTGAGCACGGAGCAGAAGCCTAGGAATCTGAGCCAGAAGTGTGACATCTCATTGCAGATAGAACCAGCCCACCCAGATTCATTCTCCAGCATCCAAGAGGTCAGTGTCTGTGACTGGGGCTCCAGGCAGCTCCAACAGCCCCAGGGGCTAAGGGCTTTCTTTCCTAAGAGTATTGCTGTCCACAGTAAATAACAAAGTAAAACAGAGCTCTGCCCCCATGATCAGTGTCCAGGGCCACACTATCAACAATGGAAACAGTGCTCCAGGAAGCAGCGTTCCAGGTCTTCCTGCGATCATGAATGGACAGTGGCTGGCTACCTGCCTTGGATCAAGCTGGCCTCAGTTTGAATCCCAATGCCCTCCATGTAGAAAGTCTGTGACCCTAGGGAGGTCACTGTGCACCAGTTCCCCACTCTGAGAATGACAGTCCCACTTCAAAGACTTTTATTTATGCATACTCACAGACACACAACCTGTATACACCTCCATCTGGTAGGTAATTGTTTGCTAAGTCTTCAATTTGTTTATCTCTCTGTCTCTGTCTCGTGTGTGTTGTGTGTGTGCATGCACACGTGTGCTCAAGAATGTGTGTGTATACATGTGTGTGCGTATGTGCATGCATTGGATATCTGTCTATATCTGTCTCATCGATGGCCCATGGGATAGAGTCCCTCCCTAAACCTAGAGCCCTCCTTCCCCACCAGCTCTGGGGTCCAGCCGTGCTTAGCTTTTTTAAATGGGTGCTGGGAATCTGAATTCCCTAATGCTTGCACAAGTGCTTGAGCAAGCGCCCTTAACCACTGAGCCATCGTCCCAGTCCACCAACTCCACTCAATGGCATCTCTTCCAGCTAAGTCTGTAAAGTCCACTTTGTTCCCGTAAGTTAGAGTTCCATTCTGTGTCCATGTTCTCCATCCGGTCCCCACGTGATGGAGAGTTCAGCTGTGTGGAGGTTAAACTTGGTTTTTCCTCTCAGCCCCATGCTCCCAGAAGGAAGACTCAGACTCAAAACATATTTACACATACATTGGCCATATAGCTGGGCTCTTCTCTGACTAGATCATAACTAAAACAAACCAATTGTCTTAACCTACGTTCCGCCACATGGCTGATTACCTGTGCTCAGGTACCATGGGTCCATCTCCTCACATCTTCCTGGGCGGATCTTCCTGTGCCTCGCTCTTTCCCAGAATCCTTTCTGCCTCCTGGTTGTCTCACCTTCTATTTCCTGCCTAAGCAAAAGGCCATAGACTTTTTAATTGACAGATGTTCTCTCTACATAGCTGTGTCTCCCTTAACCTGCTGCTGTAATTAGTATGGCTGCCACATAGAGCTCGAATTTGGTTATGAAATGGCTGAGGCTGAGGGGCTTCCTAAACTGTGTGGAACAGAACCAAATGACCTTCCCAGAGAGCCATGCAGTTTATGTGACCCCCGCATCGCCCCCATACCATGGCGGTCACTTGATAAGGCCTTCCTGTGTGACTGCCCGGAAGTCCCAGATGCTCATCCAGTGGGAAGCATGCCTGAGTGGTCCGTCGAGTGGTCCTCAGATCGGATGCTCGTACTCTGCGCCATGCCTGGTGCTGGGCCTTAGCCATCTCTCCTAGTAGGCCGACTGTGGGGTGCAGTGGTTCCTTGATGTCTCAGTTTCCTAGAGTTCAGAGCATTCTTTCCTTTCACTTTGGGAAACCAGATGCTTTTGGGAAGTGTCTGCAGAAGAAACAAAGCCAAATATGTCTACAAAGACACCGTCCCTGCCAGACAACAAGCGAGCCAGGGCTTCCGGCAGCCAAGATGAAAGGGCTTGAGGTCCAGCCAGCCGTCCCTGGCACTGAGTGCTGTCCAGAGCACTTAAATAGAAGTACTCTCCGTTGCTCAGGGCAACCAGGAGGAGGAGTGCAATGACCCAGGTGGCTGGAAGATGTCGATCACTCCTGTTAGAATCCTAAGCCCGCAAAGCAGGACCTGACACACAGCCACTACTGAGCACTTGCTGTATACCAGGCCTTGTGCTAAACACAGGGAAAGGCACACAGGGACTCCCACACATACCAACCCTTCCTTGTACCCTGCCTGTGTCTGATGGAGACACTCAGTTGAATGGCTACTTTTAGTTTCTATCTCAGAGTTGAAGCTGATGGGGGAGGGAGGGTGCAAGATAAAAGGCACTTGGAACAGTGGTCCCCATCGAGGCTACTTCCTGTTTCCAAAGCCAGAGAGGGTCAGAGGGCTCAAGAGTTGTATGAGAAAGAATCTGAATCCTCTCTCAGTAAGAGAGTTCCCAGAGGGACATGAGAAAGGGTCACGTGGTACTTCCTCTCCCAGTGCGTGAAAGACTAAGAGAGTCCAGCCTGGCTGCTGAGCCTGTCCTGCCCCAGTTCAGCATCTCCTGTCTGCTTCTATCCAGATGGAGGGAACATTCAGGTGGCTCCTACCAGGACAAACAGATGTCCTCCAACAGATGAATAACAGAACCAAGCCCTGAGATGGACCGGCTTCAGGGCAATACACGGGAGTAGTTTGGTACACTCACTCACCTGGCAGCCCTGAGCTGGGACAAGCTTCTCGCTCTCTTCCAGACCTTGCACATCTTGAGCACCATCCTGAGAGGATCAGTCTCCACAGGAAGCATGCTTGGCCCTCATGGAGCCTGTGAGCACGAAGGGAGGAGACAAAGAAAACAGAATAGAATAAAATGTACTAGGGAGGAGGTGGGGTCAAGTGGTTTGTGGAGCTGTCATGGCGGGACTTAAAACTGTCCCAGCTTGCTTGCTCTTGATGTGATCAACAGGCTGATCAAAAACAACTTGAGGAGGAGAGGGTTCATTTTATCTTACAGCTTACAGTCCATCATTGAAGGAAGTCAGGTCAGGAGCTTAAGGCCGGAACCTCTAGGCTAGGACTGAAATAGAGGCCATGGAAGAGTGCTGCTTACTGGCTTGCTTTTCCTGGCTTGCTCGCCCTGCTTCCTTATGTAGCCCCAGGACCCACCTGTTCCAGGTTAGCCCTATCCACAGGGGGCTGAGCCCTCCCATATCAGTCATTAACCATGAAAAAAAGGAACCCCACAGACCAATCTGATAGAGGCATTTTTTTTCAATCAGTTGAGGTTCGATCTTTCTAGATTAACCATTGCTTGTGTCCAGAGACAAATACTGACCAGAATAGTGGCTAAGAGCATCATGGTAGGAAAAGGGTTCTCTCAGAACTGTTGATCAGAGACCTCCACGGGGCAGATTTGGAGCAGTGTCATAAAGGTATGAGTGACCGAAATGATGAAGGGAGGGGACTCGTCCCAAGAGGGCCTCAGCTGGCTTTGCTGAACTCCTTGAAGGAGACTGTAGGCCTTGAACCCTGGGAGAGCCAGTGTGACAAGCACAGAGCCTAGGACTCATCATCCTGTTAGCCTCAGAGAATCGCCAACACCAGCCAAGGAAGAACAAATGATTCTCTTTCCCCAGCCCCTGCTCAGTCTGTGGTTGGATTTCTCAGTCACTGAAGCTAGGGTGTCTAATACCAAACTGTCCGTCATCCGTCAACTCTGCAAAGTTCAGCTCCTGGAGAGATCTTAGCTTGGGGTCCTTGATGGAGGCACCTGGAATAGCATCTAGCATAGGGGAAGGGCAGAGTCAATGAATAAGAACAAGAATATGGGTAGGTAGTGATGGACTGATAGACACAGGGCTGGGCTTGTAGCTCAGTGGGTAGAGCTTGTTGGGTTTCCAAAGCTGTTACCCTGTGATACACTGTATTAATGCTGTAACACTGTAACACAACACAGACTAGGCATGGCAGTACTCAACCTGAAATCCCAGCACCCAGGAGTTGGAGACAGGAGAACCAGAAGTTCAAGGTCATCTTTGGCTACATAGAAACTCTTGACGACAACATGGGCTGTGTGAGCCTGTCTAAAAGAATAATTGAAAAGAGGGGAAAAAAACATTTAAAACAAAAAGAAAAAAAAGACCAAGATGCCTAGCTATATAAAATTTCAATAATTTCCGTTCACCTCATGCTGTGTGTGTTGCCTCCGGAATCTATATCTGCAACCTAAGATGATCCAAAAGTTGCTATTTTAAAAGTAGTTATAAATGAGACAGATCATCGGTTTCTACCCATTCTTGCCAGGTTGGCTGAGGTCTCCCCCTAGCAACTGTCTGACAACTGAAAACCACTCTCAGCACCCCATCCCCACTCACTGCACCCCATCCTGGTCCCCTCTTAATTATCCACTAAACACCTGCCCACCGTGTCTCTCCCAGTGTACCTTCCCACTATCTCCTTGTACTGGGATACGAAATCCAGGACAGCAAGGATTTGACAGTGTCAGTCACTGATAGCGCCCCAGAGCCTAGAGCAAGTTGGCACTCCCAAGGTGTGGAATGAGTAAGTGAATGAATGAATGAATGAATGAATGAATGAATGACTCACTGGAGAAGTGAGACAGGATCCCATGTAACCTAGACTGGCCTCGAACTCACAATGCAGCCAGGAAGTACCTTGAACTTCTGATCCTCCCACTTCCACCCCATGAGTGCTGGAACCACAGCCATGTGTCACCTCTGTTTATACAGTGCCAGGAACAGAGCGCAGGGAACGAAGCTTTGTGCACGCTAGGCATGCACTCTGCATCACTGAGCTGTATCTCCTCAATTTTTTAAAGAGAAAAATAATCCTAAATTCTTTTGAATTTGTCTTAAAAGAGAGCGTGACCTTTCCAGACCATCATTGTCTGTGCCCTGAGCAGACCCCGCTCTAGTCTCTAACAGTTCCGTGGGGTCCTCGTGTGGCCAGCAGCCGTCTTACCGTATGCGGCAGGCATGGGACGTCCTGTTGTTACAAAAGGTTCTGTTGGACCTGCCACTCTAGAGATCTTAGAGTCTCTCTCCAGACCAACCAAGTGCCAGGGTGTCCAGTACCCCCAGACGGGAGAAAACCATCCCGTCACCAGTGTAAAAGGAGCCTCGTGAGGTCTCTTCTCAAATATTCTTCTGGGGCTGAGAACACAGCTGAGCAACAAAGCAAGAGCTTAGTTATCCAGGAGACACAGGTCCCGCCCTCAGCACCACAGAAGGGGAACAGGAGAAAGAGAAGTAAAAATGCCCCCCTAGAAGCAGAACCGGGGGTGCTGGAGAGACAGCTCAGGAGTTAAGTTCGCCTGTGGCTCTTGCCAAGGACTTGACTTCTGCTCTGAGCAGCCGCATCAGGTACCTCTAACTCCGCCTCCATGGGATCTGACGCCCTCCTCTGGCCTCCGAAGACACCTACACTCGGGGCAGACACGCGCACGCGCACACACACACACTTTAAAGAGCATAAACAAAGTCTTTTCTAAAAGTCACTATTCAGAAAAAGGTGAGGTTGTTAACAAATGGAGATCCAAAACTGGGCATGCTGACACACACCTGTAATCCCATCACTCAGGAGGCGGAGGCAGGGGGAAATCTCTGAGTCTGAGACAAACAGCCTGGTCTACACAGGTGAGTTCCAGGACAGCCAGGGCTGTATAGAGAGACCCTGTTTTAAAAGGGGGCAGGGAATGAAGACCCAAGCATGAAAGTCTACTAGAAGAAGAAACAAAGGCTGCAGAGGAGAACAGGGATGTTTTATTTATAGCGGCACTAAGTGGGAAGGAGAACTGGAGGTCCTCCTACATAGGACTTGATATCTGTGATGAAAAATTTAAATGCCCTCTGTGCTGAAGCTCTTGTGATATTTTCCAGAAGTGCTGAATGACAGGGTCTCTGCTAAGCAGGAGTTGTTTAAGTCACTGGGAATCTAAGGGCACTCCCTGGACCCTTATGGAGCTGCTGTGTGTGCTACTCTGTCCCCAGGAGCAGTCCTTCAGTGACCTGGGGGTCAAGTGCAAAGGGTGTCGACATGAAGAAATCATCCAGCGGCAGAAAAAGGCCTTGTCAGAACTCCGAACTCGAATCAGAGAACTGGAAAAGGCCAACTCCTCCAGTAAGTTCTCTGCCCCCCGGTCCCAGCTCAGGGAACCCAGAGCCTGGTGTACACATTGGGGATTAGCTGGTTGGCCAAGATACCCCACCATCTAATGATCAGGACATTATAACACAGTGATGGGTCAAGTGCAGGCCCTGACATTATATAAACAGGACATAAAGACTCACTACTGTCTTATTTCCCTGTCACCTTGTGGGAACTTTGTCATGGTCTAACTACACTGAGGATGAGCACTAGGGGATCCTCTTAGAACACCCCATTCAAAAGGACTGGGGCTGGCTCAGAATGGGCAGCTGATGGCTGAGAAAGACACTGGGCTCTGGGGTATCCTGGTAAATCTGTTATTGTCACCTCTGTGGCTGGAAGGCCTGTGGTGACGTTCACTATGGAGGCCTCTGTAATGATGGCCAAAGCCTCACACTCACTGTGTGGCCTTGGGCAAGTCGCTTAACCTCTCTAGGCCTTGGTTTCCTCACCACCATCCCTGTGAGGCTATGAGGATCAGAACGGTCCCATGGTAAGTGTCCTGTAAACCTACAGCAATGATGAAATGCTGTCTGCCTGAGAATACGTCATTTCTTTTATAGATCATAAGGACCATGTGAGTGAATCATTCCTAGAGCTCAAGACCCTCCGGATGGAAAAAAATGTCCAGAAAATATTATTAGATGCCAAGCCCGATTTGACAACTCTCACAAGAGTCGAGATCCGACCGGTAATCAAAAATCACTTATCTCTGAAGTGACTGACATGAGAAGGTGGGCATTAGGGCTGGCGTGAGCTGAGCCTTGAGACAATGTGCCAGAGGTTCAAGGTCAGGGCCTCCCTGATGGGCAGGTGTCTGTCTACACACACAGGCCAGCGAGTCAGTGGATACTGGCACAGACAGCGGCCTTCCGTCTGCACAGTACAGTATGTCATTGCTTTGAGTCTGGGCCAGGTCGGTCACTGAGGCACACAGGGCCCCTCCTTCTCCTATGAGACCTTACATTCTACAGAAAATGAGCTTACGCCAAGAGTTTGCCAAAGTCTGCCATTCCCTGTAAACTGAAAGACGCAAACACACACAAGTGTAAGAGACCTGAGGTGAGAGGGCCAGAGGCGAGCCCTGTGAGGGAGCCCAGCCTGAGTGCTGAGTGTCCCCCATCTGAAAGGACAGCCAGCTGTGGTGATACACACCTGTAATCCCAGGCCTGAGGGGTAGAGGCAGGGAGATCAGGAGCACAGGTCAGACTTCACTACATGGAAATTTTTAGGCCTGCATGGGGCTACTTACAACCTTCAACAAAGACAACAGAAACCAAGATAACTTTACAAATGCTTCCCCCAGGACCTGATTCAGAATTCAGGCTGAATGACAGGTAGCTGTGGCTCCAATATAATGTTATCCCAGGGAAAAGTGGGATTTCATGCCAAGATTCTCAGGAGTGATTGATGGTGACATTGAAGGTGACCTTGTAACCTAATGGACGTGAGACCGAGTGATAGGCCAAGGTCAGTGTCAGTCACAGGGCCCACTGGCTACCCACTGGATCACACGATTGAGAAAAAAGCACACAGGAGCTTTTAGAAGGAACAACAAAGTTATCCTATTTGAACCAATGTCCTGTCTAATAATCTTTCTGGACATTTACTGTCCCTGGAGAGGAAGGTCCTTGAAATGAGCTGCTAAAACCATACACCT